CGTTCTGATATTTCAGCCGCCATGTTCAATAAAGCACGCCAAATGCCTTCCGCTCATCGCTCTCTTTTTTGCAGTTTCTCGCATATTTCCTGCCACATCATTGGATTTGTATGGATACTTTTAACTTTCCTAGAAAGCATATTTTTTGGCAAATAATGTGTCTGAATAAACTGAAGTACCTTGGGTAAAACAATTTCAGGATTCTATTCATTGGTGTTGGAAAAAATGTAGAAAAATGAAGGAGGTGATAGAAAATCTGCAAAGCTTAATGTGTTTGTTCACATCCGGTCTGAGATCCAATTTTTTATTCGAATTGAAACAGACCTCTTTTAATCAGCATACGCTGAAGATATATTTCGATTCAGTTGAACCTAATTGACTTGTGCTACCTATCTTATTGATTCCAATCACGTGAATAGGATCTGCTTGGTTTTATTTATCCGTGGTCAATCGACCGTGAAACTGATTCAACCACAAAGCTCCTGCTCTCTGAAATATTAAGGCTGTGGTTTCTACACTTCCTGCATGCACTCTGGAGTATGTTAATATGAATTAGTCTGATGGCACATAGGTAAAAAAGATATTGGGCGTTTTGAGCTTTGAAATATAAGAAAACGGAAGTTTTTGGATTTCAACAAACGCTTGATGTGATAAGGATGTCTGTACATCCACATCTCATATGTTACTGTCCGCATTCCTGTGGTCAGATCGAAGTCATAGTAACTAAACAAGTTCTATTCATTTTGGCATACACTTCTGCTCGTAAGTTTACCAAAGCTGTAATCCTCAATTGGTTAACGTTCGATCTTCGCATTCGAAAGACATGTACGAGACAACAGATTTTGCTATCTCTCTGGGAATCTACTTTTAGTGGCTCTAATAAGCCGCTTGCTTTGCCTTCCTTCATTGTCATCGTTCCGCATCTACTCTCAGCCAAGGGACTGGTGATCAAGCAGGTAAAGTCATTATCGCCAACTGAACGTATGAGGTTCAAACCCTGCCACCGCTACCTAACTGCACTGTGCTCCGCTTCAGTATCCTATTCTATTAGTTCTTCATGTGGCTCGCAGTAGTAAGTTCAACGACTTGATGTTGCTCCTAATGATAAATGAGCAGCAGCTACTCTTGAATCTGAAGTGCATTCCTCTTGTTGTGCATTGCACAGTGGCGAATAGTGCAAAATACAAATCACCGAAATTGCATACAGATGTCTTTTTTGTGTGAAGAAAATTAAGCACTGTGGAAGTTAAACCAAACAGCACAGGTTTGTTAGAACCCTTTTCCCCATCACTGCTATTGCACTCACTTGCCATTTTCGGCGATAAACAAAATGCTTCAATCGCTTTTTGCTCACTGTTCCTTTGCGCTTCAATTGTTGTCGTTTCTGTTAGGGGCGGAGCGGGGTGCGAGAAAAAGTGGCGCCAGTTGAATACAAGTATCGCATGAATTTTATGGAAACGGATAAAATGTGAATAAACTTGTTAAGCTTATCGTGTTACCAGCAGTCCGAGACACAGAAAACACCTACAAGTATGAAGATTCCCATTACGAGAAATAAAAGCACCATCGCGAACTAAACTCCCTGGAGTTTTTATTTAATTACTTAATCCATCTTCAAAACGTCAAACGAATTTTAGCCTTAAACAACATACTGAAACGAGGAAAGAATCGATCTATGGGTTACGTGAATTTGGAATCGGTGAAATCGCGAGGTAAGTGGCCAATCAGAGTTCACTCACCGAATCGCCTGTATTGAAATGTCTTCCTTTGGACCTTCGCGTTCTCAATGAAATCAGTTCACATTTTCAGAAATGTGAACTTGTCAGACAGTGGTAGAACGCATTCGGTTTAGAAAACGCGTCATTTAAATAAAGAACTCAAGCTTCGCAACCCCTGCTGAGAGCATACTTTGAATCAGTTCTACAGAACTGGAATCACGTAAACCAGTGAGGTGTTCTCCGGTAGTTTAGTCAGAACACACGATGAGAAAACTCGCAGGCTGCATAGGTTTACGTCCGCTCAGCACTCAATTAAACTTCTAAATCGTGCCGGACAGCGCCATGCGCGAGGCACGATCAGATGTCAATCGCAACCCTGGATTTGCTATCGTGCAACCGATCGATCTGATACCCCCGATTTAGTGGTCACAAGAATACAAGTGAGTAACCAAGTTTGTTATCGGTTATGCTACATCAAATTAGTGAGTACGGAACAAACAGCTGATGAGAGAAGACACAACTGTGAAAGAAATCAGAGTTTAGAATAAAATGATACAGTTACGATAAATCCTACGCGTGGAGTTTCTGTGTTGAAGAGGGAGGAGTGAGTGGTCGTTGTGAATTAGTGACTGGATGAAGAATTCAAACTTCTTGAACAGGGGTTAGTTCACTATGTTGTACGTTTACAGCCTTGTAAGACCATCGTTCTTGAGAATCAATTCTAAGCTCAGAGCAACGTGTGAGGGGGAGAACGTTGGTAATCGCCTCGGCTGCTTACGAAATTCGAGATCTAATCTCGAGAAAGGACGGGAAGCCTCCCTGAGATTGACTGTGCGATTCGACTCCGTCGAATAGATATCATGTATATACATATTATATATATATATATATATATATATATATATATATATATATATATATAT